TGGTTGTGATTTAGTTTCGAGTTGGAGGGACAGACTCGCCAACGCTGTGAGCTGATGGAAATCCTTCAGGACGAGATGTTAGAAGCCGCGAAAAAGAGAGGAACTCGATAATGCTGTGTACTAGCTTCTTCATTGATATGTGTGAACCCGGTATAAATAAATATTGTTCTCTTGTAGAGGTTTTTTTCACATATTTACACTAATTGAATGGTTTCAAAATACAGTGCGGTGCAAAATCATAGTGGCACCCCCAAAAATATGAATATCTCGGCTTCTAGAAAAGCCGTCTATCGCAACTGGTAGAATCAGAACCGCCTCTATAAAAAACCTATACAAACAAGTAGCCAGATCATCCGAATAGTTTTCCGTATTTTTAGACATTTTTTTTGTTTTAGAGCGGTGCAAAATCATAGGACACCCTCAGAACTCTCCTTACTGTTGGATTTTTTTATCCAACCAGCGATAGTATGTATGCAGCACTTATTCGGTGCATGGCAACTCTACTAGAGTTACGGTGAGCTGCTCTCCTCTCCTTCGCGAGTGAAAGCAAGACGTTATTTTTATACGAGCATCGAAGCCATTTTTGGAGCTTAAGGTAGTAGCTTGGTACTCTAAAGAAATGAAGCACCAGGATAAACAACAGAAGTTTTCCAAAAGGATTGGCGCATAACCTCGAAGACTACATCGAACAAAATCACCATGCACGCTCAGCCTGTGTCAGCTCTACGAACAGAAAGCGGATAGAAATGAAATCCTATAGCAAAATCACTGATATGGACAACTAGCGTAGGGTCCTGCGAAGCGTGCTGCCATGCTCGTTAGGCGTTCTGACTGAAACCAGAGAAGAGAAATTAACGAAAGACTGGGCCAAGGCTGGGCTTTGTTGAGCAAATTTTCATTCAGAATGATAAGGTTTTTGTCCTCTCAGACAGCTTCTCTAAGGTGTCCAAAACTTTAACTTCGACGGTTAAGTTGACGCTGCTCACTGGTGGAAGAATGTAGGACAGGACTCGACGATATTCTTTCAGCGAAAATTTCGTAAAGATGTGAGGACGGGTAATCTCATCCTCAGTCCCAAATCTGAAGTTTTTCGGTACTGGAGTGAGTTTTCTAGAGCACAGAGTAAAAAAACATCTGCTCTCTTCTATGGATTTCGCATAAGAGACCACCTTTTTGACTAGTAACACATATTTTCATGCGAGAGTGCCTATGAGCTAGTGATTACAAACAAACCTGGTGACTCTAGTAGAATGGCCAGCAAGAGGTGCGCGTCTGAAGTTTGTCGAGACTCACTTGGAGAACCTTTCGTAGCAATGGCTGCGCACTCACAAGATCAACACAATTTCAAAGTTGAAGCAACGGATTCCCCACTGATGGGCGCGAGCTTGCTTTAGGTAAGTAAAAAATTTGCAGCAAGCATTTCTTCTTGTTTGAACAGAGTCATTCTGAGCGATTACCTTTGAAAAGCTAAAACAATAAGGTTCGACGTATTTCTGTATTTTCAAGGTTT